ATATATATGTTGTACGTTAACATTGTTGTGAGCATGCTGTGAGTTTAAGTGTGTAACAAATTACATTTTCACAAGTCCTCAGCAGACGACCAAGGATCGCGTGCCGTCAGATGGATGGCACCGGAAGTGTCGTCGTAGTGTACAATTTGGCGCCATTAATGAGGCGGTTTATTCTCATTGGCTAACTCGTGTCGTGCTGGTCTGCCGGCTTGTCAAATTAAGCGAGATCGTTCCTGCTTGGATTACCCTGATAAATCCGCCCTGTCGTTGTCTACATTTGTGTTGTATGGTGTGGGGTTAAAGGTTTGTGTGGAGAGGGACGGGTGGGTGGATGGGTGCATGCTGAGTGCGAAGGTACTTATAATAAGTACATTTAATAATCGAATGGTCTTGAAGCTTAAAATCGTTAACTCAACGTATAACTCAAACAGAAGACTGTCTTAAAAATAATATTTGAAATGAAGACTGAAATTTTAAAAGAAAAACAACTAAACAACCCCTCAACAAAATTGATTTTGATAGCTATCAATACTTTGACTTGACTTAGTTCTCTTTGTTTCCTGTGGAACATAGGGCCTCAACCATACCCTTCCATTTTGTCCGGTCCGGTTGTTAATTTTGTTATCTCCCAAGAAATCTCTGCCGTCTTTAGTTCTTCAAGAAGACTCCGTCTCCAGGCCTGTCTTGGGCGCCCTCTCTCCCGCTTTCCCTTGGGGTTTCAATAAGTTGAGTTGAAATCCATTAAGCTCACACAAAAACAAGTTAATAAAAAGTATAGTAACAATTTAAGCGCAATTTCCTTATGTTATCTAAAAATAGATAGACGTATAATGCTGGGGTGCGTTCAAGCTAGGAGAACGATCGGTTTGTAGGTGTTCATGTAATTTAAAAAATTTTTTTGTGACCGAACGAAAGGATATTTTTGAAAACTTTCTTCGGCAATATTGTTCTAAATTATGGCAGGAATCGATTGGTAAATGTTTCAAGTCGCTAAGTGGTCTGGTTGCCGAGATATGGGCCAAAAATTGCATTTTTTCGAGGTTTTTTACTTTTCCGGCAAATCCAGGAAGGAATTCCGGGAATTTTTTTAGCCCACAATCATCCTCGGAACTTGCTTAACATATTTGCTTTTGGAACTAGTCCTCGATATTGCTTCGTTGAGGAGGAGATAAGACTTAAAGCTGCGGACACACATCGGACACACATCCATCCTTGACGAGTTAATAATCGCAATTGTCCGTATGGAAATTGCGCTAAAAAAATCTAGATAAGTTTTTTTAATAATATGGACTGTTATTCTCTGACAGTACACTTACATTTCACCATCATTTTATTACTAAGCCAAGGAAGCAAACAAACTCTACTCCACCCTCTTTGTTGGCAACCAGGTTCAAGTCTCTTGACAGTCAGACGAAGAGGTCGGGGTGTCACAAAGATGAGGTGACCTCACGAGTTTTGAGACTGACGGGGTCAGGGGTCAGATATACACGATGAGACGAGTAAACGTGCGATAGATATTTTTATTGTAATGTTGCATGAACCCTGTCACAAAGTTGGCTTAGGGTTAAACCCGGGTTTGAGTTTGTTGAGTTTAGAAATGTCGTTATAATCATATCGATTTGACTGTTTCTAAGTTCGTACAAATTGTAGAAGACAAGTTGAAAGCTTTAGTTTTGAAAGCGTATTTTGTCGCTATAGTTAGGGTTCACAAAAATAAGTAGATTATAAACGCTAGAAATTTGTGTTTGACTTGATTATTTGAAAGAATCACTAAAATGCATATTTCAGCTTTTATACTTTTACATCAGATGGAATAGAGTACTTTCGACTACTGTTTTTTTTATATATAAATGTTACTTAAGTAGATTTTGCATTACATACTTTAATAGTAGACTTAGAAATGTAGCATAAGACAGCATCGGAGACAGCATACACTACAAAGTCTGGAACATCTATATTAATAAATACTGAGTGTAATCAAGTAGACCATTCGGCCTCTAGTAAAGCAGGACTTTTTTTTTGGTAGTGACCTCTGACCCATACCAAAGTCTCCACAGCTATTATGGGTTAGATTTAGTGTAAGTTTTTTAAATAGAGACGAACGTATAGGGCTTTTACTTATTACTATTTACTTTATCGCTGTCAAGCAATATTTGCCCAGTGATTTCTGTGGTTAAATAAAAAGTGTAGAACCACTTTAGACTAGATTGTCTATGTGACTGGTATATTTTTTGTGACGCCGATATATGACGGGATAGCGTGGTCAGTGTTATATCCTGCTGACTCTAATGTGTGTATATTTCCAAAATCCACCATCTTCCTCACCCCGCCCTTGTCTTTAATGTTAACAACAAAATATAAGATGGTTTTAATCAAACTAGATCGTTATGTTTTTAGCATACATTGCCACGTATTTCAGTACTAAACACACTTTATCCTCGTCTTTGCAGAAAAATATTTACTGCATCAGCTTATGGACTAAAAGGGTGCACACATTGTTCATAATAACCACCAAAGCTGATGGAAAATGCTCTATATTTCTTAGTATTCTCTTGCACAAAACAAAAAAAAGCCTACATGAACACATGTATTTCGTGATCTATTAAAATAACATTGTAGTTTCGCATTGTTTCACTGAAAATTGTTACATGATCGATGGAAAGCGTTGCTGAGCTTTATATTGAGTAAAAAAAATAATCTAAAGGTCAGTTTGCTTATTTACTTTTAGATTTTAGACAATGTATTCCCCCTCCATCTTATTCTTAATACAAATACAGAAAATGTTAGAAATTGTTATACGACATCACCAGTGTTTCTTCCAGAATTTTTTCTCCGGGGGTGCACTTGATTTTTTCGGGGGGGGGGGGGGGGGGGGGAGCGGACACTGGTTTTCAGTATAAATTCTATTTCTTTCGGGGGGGGGGGCGGTAGACTTTCTTCGGGGGGCTCTGTACCCCCCCCCCCCCCACCCCCCGAAGATATGGCTGGAAGAAACTCTGGACATTACTCCCCCCATGTAACATAACATAACCTAAAGGTAAACAACCTCTACCCCTTGTTATAAAACAAGTGTACGATTGTTTACCTCCTTTCAAGAAACAGACACAAACCAAATAGAGCTAACATCACATTCTGTACGCTTCCTATTATAACTGCTAAAATAACTCAAATTAAGCTAATTAGTAATTAGCCAACAAAAATCGCTCTGTTTACTGTAGTTGCTATTTCGTCACCGCTCTGTTGAGTGTATTCCGGACGGGTCATATCCTGACCTCACAAAGTAGGGCACAGCGGCTACTAATGAGTATTAATAAATACACCAACACAGCCTCCCCTCTACCAGATGCCTAAGTGGTAAAATTTAGGTCAATGTAACTGCGTTTTGTTTTGTTTTCAGTCACCCAATGTTTTAGTATGTACGTAATTGCTGCCATAGCCTTTACATATATATATATATATATATATATATATATATATATATATAATGTGTATGCGAATGAGATTACAGACCAACTGCATCATGAACTTTTTTTAAAAAAAACACTACAACTCCTGCATTATACATTGTGTTTTTCTCTTGTGGGTATCTTGTTTTCTTTGATGTTGGGACTAAAGCCTTAAGGAATTGATTCCCTCCCTGCCGGTAGCGGCCATAAAAGGACCACGTAAGAGTTAATGACCCTTGTTGAACCAGCGAGATGGTGTAAAAGCCAAGCTAAAGCGAGCTCTTGATAGCTGCAGCCATGGGCATTGTTTGGCTAGTTGCTTGGGGTGGGGGGGGGGGGGGATGGTCGCTCTACAGATAAAAAAAATAGTAGCTGGATGGAGCGGTCTCCCTACCGATAAAAGACGAACGTGTTAAATAAAATCTGAATCGATAGCAAATCAGTGTCTTATAGTAGCCCCTTAAATTACTATACAAATAAAAACAAATCAATCGTTGTAATCGTTCTTTGCTTATGTTTATAAACGATCTGGTTATAGAAAAACATTCCCTTGCGCAGATTTATTTTTACGTCGTTATAGGTTGCGCAGTTATCCGTTGCGCATCTATCTGCTTACCGATAAAAACAAATGATTATCAATTATTGTGTACATATTAATTAAAAATGAGTTGTAATTGACCCCTGGCCCATATAACGTAATATAATAGTTCATATGACTTCCTCTTGCACAGAAAACGACTATGGTATAGACGTATTTAGTAATATATTGAAATAAGATTGTTGAGTTTGGATATATGATCTACACTATGCACGCTGCTACTGTAGGCTGAGCATTATATCATCTGCTTCAAGTTGAGCTTGCGTTTCATCAGTCAAACGTTTAGCTTCCCGTGAGCATATCATCAGCCTCTAGTCGAGCTCACTATAGTTACACCATCATTCCAGAGTTGAGTTTATCATAAACATAATAGGAGTTGGTAAAGCTCACGGTTGCTAAACCGAATAGTCTCGAGTTCGAACCCTCGGGCAGATGAGGCTCGTTAGCTGGGGACAGCCACTCTTCAAGAAGAAAGTTCCCTTTTTCAAACCTGACGGTCTATAGGGCAAGTGACCTCGGCAAATGAAGAGATAGTGTGGTCAGCACTATGCCCAGCCGCCTTTACTTTCCCTAACGTGAGTTAGGTACCCATCAGAGTTGGGTGGACTCAGGGACGGTCTACTGACTAGAACCCGGATTCCTACTCGAGACTTGCGGTTTAGCAGTTCAGCTCTCTACCACTAGACCACTCCGTACCCATAAGGAGAGACAACTCCAAAATCAAACAACTGTTGCCTTGTAGTTTGTTCTTCGATGGACAAAGGCTATGGAAGCAAATCCAAAAAGAATAGCAGGCTGAAATTGGAGTCAATGGCCTCAATGGGGCATAAACAGTTGACACGTATACTTAATTGTGTTGTAGGGGATCCCTTCCAACACTAAAATTAAGAACGAAGAAGAATAAAATATCAACATAATTGAGCGCGCGTGTAATCACGTGTTTCTTCTGTCCACAGGTTCATGATGGTTCTCATCTGTCTTATATTCAGTGTCTTGTCTACCATTGACCAATACACAGACTTCGCTGACCAGACCTTGTTTTGGATGGTGAGTATTTGGGGTCTCATATTCAGTGTCTTGTCTACCATTGACCAATACACAGACTTCGCTGACCAGACCTTGTTCTGGATGGTGAGTGTTTGGGTTTTTATATATATTAGTACTCAGTATGAATCAATAGTTGCTATTCATCATCTGATCTATTTCATTTTCATGAAGTAGAGTTCATCTGCTTTAATGAACTCGACATACCAGGGAACAGTGTGGTCATCACTATGCCCAGCTGCCTTTGCTTCCCTAACGTGAGCAGGTATCCATCAGAGCTAGGTGGTCTCAGGACGTGAACCCGAGATCCGAACTCGAGACTTTTGGGTTAGCATTCTAGCGCTCTACCGCTAGCCTTCGCCGTCCCCGAGATTGCTATTAGGGAGACTATTACTGAGTGCTAGAGGAAATTGCTTTCATGGAGATTGCCCCAAGGGATATTTGTAAAGTGGGGGATGAATGCTACAAGGGAGGCTATTACAATTGAAAGTGGAGGACGCCTCAAGGGAGAGAGTCCCCATTGTTATCTGTTCACGGGGAGGCGGGGTGGTACAAGGGAGGCTACTAAGAGACCGCCTTTTTAAATGGCGCTAAACAAATAAATTCGTAACTCATACTCGAAACCTTAACGGTACTGTAAATCAAAACAGTCCCCTCCCCTACCCCTACCCCCTCCCCCCAAAAAAAATTATCGTAACTATTCTAACTATTCGCTTTCTATACCAAGCACTTTCAATTTCCTTCTTTTTAAAATCGAAAAAAACGTAAAATTATCATACATTTACTTTTTTGTTTGCGAGAAATTTCAATAAATAATGTTGCCCTTTACTTGCATGATTGGATAATGTAGTTGTCTGTCCACAGGAAATTGTGTTGGTTGTGTTTTTTGGCCTGGAATATTTGATACGCCTCTGGTCCGCGGGCTGCAGGAGCAAATACATGGGCTTTAAGGGCCGCTTACGGTTTGCCAGGAAACCCATCTCTATTATAGGTGAGTACCTGTCCCCTTGAATACACTTTTATCAACCCATCTTCCTTGACTCTAAGTTTACAGACTATAAACTGGTTGGTACTGTTGGTGCCGCACTTTTAATATCTCTCAGGGGGTCTAGGACATTACCCCTCCCCCGTCAATTACCCCCCCCCCCCCCCCCAGACATTTCTTCCTTCCATCGACATTAACAACAGAAGTCATTATCACCACCCCCCCCCCCCCTGTCAATTACCCTCTCCCCGCAAGCTGTAGAACCTTTACCCTAAACCGAACATCAATCCAAACTCCAATTCTAAACGTACATCGAATCCTAACCCTAACTTATCAATAACTGGGCGAGGGGGTAATTGATAGGGGTTAATTTTTCCGGGGGTCTAATGTCAGGAAAAGATGTCTGGGGGGGGGGGGGCGGAGGCAATTGATGGAGGGGGGTGTTAATTTCCAGCTCCTCTCTCAGAGAACATAGTCCCACTAACCAGCCTACGTTAGTAGTGTGTATAGTGTGGATCATATATCCCACCCAACAAAAAAAACCAGCCACTTACACTGATCATCGGAAAAAGCAGCAGAGAAAATAAATTACGCTGCGGAACTTGCGTAACAAAAAATCTCGCACACCAAAACCCAGTGTGCGACATGTCCTGGAAGCGCTATTTTTCATTTGCGGAAATTTCTGTGTGCGGAATTATTTTTTTGTACCAAATTTTGTAGCTTGATTTTTTTCCCCGTTGCGTTTAATTCAATGTTTTCAAAGTGTACTGTTACTGAACAGTTTAAATCCTAACTCAAAACCAAAAGTTGGGTTCGCTTAGCCAATGGTACCTTATAGTAATATAGTTATATACAATCAAGTGGGTTTTCCCCCCTTAGTTAACATTGTTTGTATTAAAAGCAGGTTTGTGTTAACTCTTTAAATGATTCTCGTCCACACAGATTTCACCGTTGTGGTCGCGTCCATTGTGGTACTGTCTGTTGGCTCAAATGGTCAAGTGTTTGCGACATCAGCCATCAGGTAAAGTTACTGAAGTTAAATGGTCGCTGTGGGAGAAGGAAGAATGGGCGTGACTGTGATCATGGGCGGCTGGGCGATGCAATTGTTAACTATTTTATTATGTAATTGTTTGGATTGTTGTATTTTGTGTTTTAAAGAGCACTGCATTCTGGGATAGATGGTTGATGTAAATGTATGTGTGCATACTATATTGTGAGTGTAAAGAGATTGTTTACAATAGTTAACTTGCAGGCTCATTGTAACAAGGTTAAATACCCCTTTAGCCACACAAATGGTGATCCACTTGCAGGTCAGATCTCAAAGATTAGTCCCAAAGACTGACTTGTGTTCCATTCGGTCAGCAAATAATCCACTCGATCAAATAATGCCCCACTAATTACACTAATGCCCCCATTAAGTCAACTAATTCCCCACTAAGTCCACTAATGCCCCAATCAGTCAACTAATCCCCCACTAATTACACTAATGCCCCCAATAAGTCAACTAATGCCCCAATCAGTCAACTAATACTAAGTCAACTAATCCCACACAAAGTCAACTAATCCCCCATTAAGTCAACTAATCCCCCATTAAGTCAACTAATCCCCCACTAAGTCAACTAATACTCCACTCAGTCAACCAATTCCACACAAAGTCAACTAATCCCCCATTAAGTCAACTAATACTCCACTCAGTCAACTAATCCCCCACAAAGTCAACTAATCCCACACAAAGTCAACTAATCCCCCACTAAGTCAACTAATACTCCACTCAGTCAACTAATACTCCACTAAGTCAACTAACCCCCCACTAAGTCAACTAACCCCCCACTAAGTCAACTAACCCCCCACTAAGTCACCTAATGCCCCCATCAGTCAACTAATATTCCACTCAGTCAACTGTTGTTTCCTTGTCTTTCTTTCCTTAAGGGGTGTCCGTTTCTTGCAGATCCTCCGTATGTTACACGTTGATCGTCAGGGCGGAACCTGGAGGCTTCTAGGCTCGGTAGTCTACATACACCGACAGGTAAGACTGTCACAAGAGTTTCTTTCAAGCAATTTAGGGGGAAGGGGGACTCGTTCGCTGACTCCTGGAGGATATTAAAACATATATATATATATATATATATATATATATATATTCTATATAGACAATTTAAAAAAAGAGAAGGGAAGAGGTAATATCCCGAGACAAACTTGAACTGGAATGCCCTGGGAAGGGGGAAAGTTGTCCGGCCTTAGAGATCAGGGTGAAGGGCGGTAGAAGAAGAGGCAAAGACCGCTGGGCTCACGAAAGCACAGATAGGGTGAGCTGCCCAAACCCGAGTCCGGTGGAGAGGTGTGTCTGCAGCCCTTTGCTCTCCAGGGACCATAAAGGGATAAGTCATATAGAAAATATCAAGTTTAACTAGTGTCGTTGGAAATTTTAATGTGTTCCCCGTCCTCCCAAAAGTTTCGTGTCTCCACCCCTATAGAGAAAGATGTCTGAAAGAAACACTGTTCGCAATACTAACGAATGAGTTATACATCAACAGGTTCGAAACGTAAATCAAACATCTTGGGAAAATGTAAGGTCTACTTTATAATTCATGTTTCATGAAACTTCTAAGCGGGTCTGTTTGTTCATGTCAATGAAACTTGAGTGTGACATACTTTCATAGAACATGAAACCCAAAACTAAATACGGTCTTTAAAAATTCAGAAGCCAGATAGTGGTTATAGTTAACCAGGAGATTCGGCATCGCGTGTGATTACTTTTTTTCTAACTCGCATCAAACACACCAACTGATAATTTAATCATACTCTCGGTTGTTGTGTTGAAGGCTAATGACGTCATCGCTTTGATGATATCTACACATCAATATCAAAACCAATTAGCTAATTGGATGGGTTTGGGTTCCGACTAATCCCGGAAACTGAAGTAATACCCGAGGAACACCCGAACGAACGCTGAGCTTAAAAGTTCGTTGATTCGATACCCGGATGGGCTGGCAGTGTTATAAAGCAGGGTATAAATCGGATAGTGTAGGATAAATGCTATTTTATAACTAATTAGAGTAATTAGCTGCGAGAGACAATTTTTTTTATGTTTACGTTGTATGTTGAATTCAAGGCAAGATATAAAACACAAATACAGCTAATTTTATTTTTGCGACATCAAACTGGAAGTTTTTATGTTTCAGCGTTCTTGAGTTCTTAAGTAAATAAAAGCAGTAACAGTTGTACTTTACCCAAGAAGCCGTGTAATGTAATTTAATGCCGTCACTACTACATCAGAAAATAAAAGCGGATTGTTGGCAGATGTTGATATGGTCTTTTGCAAAGGGTGGCCGGAAAGAACCGCAACGGAAAAAAGCGCAACGGAAAAAAGCGCAAATCAAAAAGCGCAACGGAAATAAGCGCACACGGAAAAAAGCGCAAAGAGAAAAAAGCGCACACAGAAAAAAGCGCAAAGAGAAAAAAGCGCACACGGAAAAAAGCGCAAAGAGAAAAAAGCGCAAACAGAAAAAAGCGCAAACAGAAAAAGCGCAAACGGAAAAAAGCGCAAACAGAAAAAAGCGCACACAGAAAAAAGCGCAAACGGAAAAAAGCGCAAACAGAAACAGAAAAATGCGCAACCAGAAAAAAACACAACGAAAAATGTGCAAAAGAGAAATTTAGCACAAAGACCATATGGACTAGATGACACATTTATACATGACTGTTAGGGCTGCTGTGAGAGTGTCGTGTTTGATCACGTGATCTACTACCATTTAAAGCGTACCACTACCATCTGCATTCCCATCACCACGATACAGGCGATAATCACTTTACACAATGCCTATTATTTTCTTGGTCAATAATTATTCAACTACTATTCTCGTATAAACATACAACTATCGACATTACACGAAGTATCTTTCACATTCTCCCTAGTCCGAACTACCTCGCTTGCATACTATAACAACCCGTTCCTATGGCAAAACTTCACTCTCTTTCATCCGCGTCATCAAACATGCATTCGTCATATCTCTCGTAACAACATTCATTCGCACCAAAATAACAATTTTGTATTTAATATTTTTTCACATCATGACGCACCTACCTACCTACCTACTACCCACCTACCCACCTACCTACCTACCTACCTAACTACCCACCTACCCACTTACCCACCTACCCGCCTACATACTTACCAAACTACTCACCAAAAAAGTATCGGCGAAGTTCGTAAGTTTCGTAAACTGTACTAGACATCTTTTTTTTAATGAAAATTCATTGACATCATTGACATATGTTACATATATGTTACATTTTGCGACAACCTTAATTAGTGCGTTGGGCTTGTATGAAAACTCACTTCGAACTAACTCAATTACATGCTATTTATTTTAACATTACACGGAAAGCGTCACCCAACTGTTGTGATGTGAGGTGAGGACAGGTTCGACAATAAACCAACACGAAAGTACGAAAGAGACATAGATTGCCTATTAGAAAATGGACCCCTTAACTTTCCTAACCCCACCATTTATTATACCCAACCTAACCTCTAAATTTACTGCGCTAAATGTCACTTCCCTCCCAATCGTTCCTATTCTAAAGAATTGTGTATACTATTTATTTACATTTTTTAATAATCTCAATAGGACTAAAATAGACTTTTGTTTGAAGGGTAATGAAAACATGTAAACAAAAGGGACGCTACTCTAAATCAATGCGAATACTTATATGCAGTGGCGTAGGCAGGGGGGGGGGTTTATGGGGGTTCATAACCCCCCCCCCCCATAGACCCCTCGGTATATATATATATATATATATATATATATATATATATATATATATATATATATATATATATATATATATATATATATATATGCAAATCGAAAGTTTGAGGGGGGGGGTACAATCGACAGTTTGAGGGGGGGGGGGAAGTCTGGAAGAAACACTGCATGTAGCCTATATAACAGAAGAGCTATGGTTGTTTATATCATTTTGCATTCGTCCGGTAAACATTTCAGTAAAATACATTAAAAACCTTCCATAACCTTTTTATAAAGAAACACAGAGAGATGAAGTTTTATAATAACATCAGGCTACATGCAGTGTTTCTTCCAGACTTTTTCCCCGCTCAAACTTTCGATTGTACCCCCCCCCTCCCCCCCTTAAACTTTGATATCCACCCCCTCATACTTTATATATATAAAATAAATAGCATGTAATTGAGTTAGTTCGAAGTGAGTTTTCATACAAGCCCAACGCACTAATTAAGGTTGTCGCAAAATGTAACATATATGTAACATATGTCAATGATGTCAATGAATTTTCATTAAAAAAAAAGATGTCTAGTACAGTTTACGAAACTTACGAACTTCGCCGATACCTTTTTGGTGAGTAGTTTGGTAAGTATGTAGGCGGGTAGGTGGGTAGGTGGGTAAGTGGGTAGGTGGGTAGTTAGGTAGGTAGGTAGGTGGGTGGGTAGGTGGGTAGTAGGTAGGTAGGTAGGTGCGTCATGATGTGAAAAAATATTAAATACAAAATTGTTATTTTGGTGCGAATGAATGTTGTTACGAGAGATATGACGAATGCATGTTTGATGACGCGGATGAAAGAGAGTGAAGTTTTGCCATAGGAACGGGTTGTTATAGTATGCAAGCTAGGTAGTTCGGACTAGGGAGAATGTGAAAGATACTTCGTGTAATGTCGATGGTTTTATGTTTATACGAGAATAGTAGTTGAATAATTATTGACCAAGAAAATAATAGGCATTGTGTAAAGTGATTATCGCCTGTATCGTGGTGATGGGAATGCAGATGGTAGTGGTACGCTTTAAATGGTAGTAGATCACGTGATCAAACACGACACTCTCACAGCAGCCCTAACAGTCATGTATAAATGTGTCATCTAGTCCATATGGTCTTTGTGCTAAATTTCTCTTTTGCACATTTTTCGTTGTGTTTTTTCTGGTTGCGCATTTTTCTGTTTCTGTTTGCGCTTTTTTCCGTTTGCGCTTTTTTCTGTGTGCGCTTTTTTCTGTTTGCGCTTTTTTTCCGTTTGCGCTTTTTCTGTTTGCGCTTTTTTCTGTGTGCGCTTTTTTCTGTTTGCGCTTTTTTCCGTTTGCGCTTTTTTCTGTTTGCGCTTTTTTCCGTTTGCGCTTTTTTCCGTTTGCGCTTTTTTCCTTGTGCGCTTTTTTCTGTGTGCGCTTTTTTCCGTTTGCGCTTTTTTCTCTTTGCGCTTTTTTCCGTTTGCGCTTTTTTCTGTTTGCGCTTTTTTCTGTGTGCGCTTTTTTCTCTTTGCGCTTTTTTCTGTTTGCGCTTTTTTCTCTTTGCGCTTTTTTTCCGTGTGCGCTTTTTTCTCTTTGCGCTTTTTTCCGTTTGCGCTTTTTTCTGTTTGCGCTTTTTTCTGTGTGCGCTTTTTTCTCTTTGCGCTTTTTTCCGTTTGCGCTTTTTTCTCTTTGCGCTTTTTTCTGTGTGCGCTTTTTTCTCTTTGCGCTTTTTTCCGTGTGCGCTTATTTCCGTTGCGCTTTTTGATTTGCGCTTTTTTCCGTTGCGCTTTTTTCCGTTGCGGTTCTTTCTGGGAACCTTTGCAAAGTGTATCACTTCCGGTGGTCTTGAGCAAATTTTATCTCTTCCGGTTTGAAAAGATGCAGCTAAACCTCTTGCCTTTAAGTTTTGTCGATGCGACGAGGCAAATCTTTTAGTATGTAAACACTGTGTTGTGTTAGCTTATTGTATCACGCACAGACACAAACAGCTGTTATAAACCAAAGCAGGACGTAGATACAAACAATATAACCACGTTTGGTATAAAATACAAAACAAAGATTAAAACCTATGGGACGGTGTGGTCAAGTAGGTAATGCTCATGGTTGCTAAACCGAAAAGTCTCGAGTTCGAACCCTCCGGCAGATGAGGCTCGGTAGCTGGAGACAGCCACTCTTCTAGGAGAGACAACTCCAAAATCAAACAACTGCTGCCTTGTAGTTTGTTCTTGGACAAGCAGGCTGAAATCGGATTCAATGAATGGCGCATAACCAGTATTGTGTTTGAGAGGATCCCTCCAACACTAAAATTAAGAACGAAGAAGAAGAAGAAAAAAAACATGACCGTTATTTCAAGCAAAGCCATCTGAAATAAAAATAACTTTTAAGTCACACAAAACGGCCTATAAAACTACCTCACTTTTATAACCACAAAAAAGAATCACATAGAAAACAAATCAGACTGCAGAAAGTCCAACCTTTCGTAAACTACCTAGCAATACACGTTTTTTTTTTCAATAAAAAAATGTTATTTTTCCTAACCATAGCTCTTCACTCTAAAATAAACTTTCTCTCTCTACAGGAACTGATCACAACCCTGTACATTGGGTTCCTCGGTCTCATATTCTCTTCCTATTTCGTCTACCTCGCTGAGAAAGACAACGGAGAGGATTTCACCAGCTATGCTGACGCCCTCTGGTGGGGAGTGGTGAGTCGCACGTTTAGTCCGATATTTTAAACTAACACGGGGGGTCGGCGTGGTCGAGTCGGTGAAGCTCATGGTTGCTAAACCGAAAAGTCTCGAGTTCGAACCCTCGGGCAGATGAGGCTTGTTAGCTGGGGACAGCCACTCTTCTAGGAGAGACAACTCCAAAATTAAACAACTGCTGCCTTGTAGTTTGTTCTTGGTTGGACAAAGGCTATGGAAGCAAATCCAAAAAGAAAAGCAGGCTGAAATCGGAGTCAATGGCCTCAATGGCGCATAACCAGTTGACACGTAACGCTTAATTGTGTTGGAGGTGTGGTCGAGTCGGCAAAAGCTCATGGTTGATAAATTCGAACAGTCTCAAATTCAACCACACTGGCAGATAAATCTCGATCCCCTTCAACACTAATAATTAAGAACGAAGAAGAAGAAGAAGAAACTAACACGAACTTGATTACAATCATATTTTAACGAAGTAGTTTAGATTTCACTGAAGCTGGTAAGTGACCTCGGCATATGAAAGGATAGTGTGGTCAGTACTATTCTTAGCTGCCTTTACGTACCCTAATGTGCGACAGGTACCCATCAGAGCTGGGTGGACTCAGGGACGTCCTACAGACTCAAGCCCGGGATCCGAACTCGATATGTTCGTGGCGCTCTATCAATACTGTCATTCGTGTAGTTGCTAATTTATGAATCCTGCTGATACTAGGAACTAGCAGAGCAATATTTAGTATCTGGAATATCATTCAAATTCTGGACTAATGACATAATGAATTGACACCCTCTTATTTTTTCTGACCCCCCAGATCACTGTGACGACGATCGGCTATGGCGACACAGTCCCCAGAACCTGGATGGGGAGAATCGTAGCCTCCTGCTTCTCCGTCTTCGCCATTTCTTTCTTCGCCTTACCCGCGGTAATCCATTTTTACACACATATATATTTGTCTTGTTTACTTTGTGGAGATTGGCATAAATGTGTGTACGAGGGTTAAGATTGTTAGTGTAAGCTTATTGTAGTGATGAACAGATACCGTCTTATCGTTATTGTCTTCGTATGTAATTAGGATTAGGGTAATTAGACTTAGCAGTAGTCATTAGTTCCCAACAGTTCAAAAAGTTAAGAATAATAATTTGTGACATGCTTTCAGCTTAAAACTATTCAGTATTATTTTATAGGCTTATATACTTATACATGCATATATATATATATATATATATATATATATATATATATATATATATATATATATATATATATATATATATAATCATCTTCTGGAAATGAAAGGGAGGTACGTGCGCCTGTCAGTCAGTTATCTGTTTCCATGGCTGACAAAATTGCCTATCTGCCTGTTTGTGTCTGTCTGTTGCTAACTGTCGTGCTATCGATTTTACCAGACTCTCCCCGCGGTTTTAACGCCTTTTCCCTAACGTATTTGTCTGGCCCTATTTACGTGGGGAGAGGGGTTTGTTTATTCTTTAAAAGTCTCGGCTATAGACAAACGAGATTAAGTGACTTCACATGGTGCTTAGCGCCGCCCGTGGGTAAAAACTGAGAACGGTGTATCTGTTCTAATGTTATTCACGTGGGTCTCCAAGGAGTCTTCATATCTCTCCCCACCCCAAACTATTAAACTCAGTTAAAACTTACTCGTATCGAGAAGTGCACCATACCATTATGTGCACCCAGGAGTGGAATGGCCCGCCGGTCTGCCGGGAAAAATCCCTGTGGGCCTTATAGTGCTTTGATTTTTAAAAATTAATTTGTCGCGTGAATTTCAGTCGAGCTGAGGATGATTATTAGACTTTGATGGGGAACAAATGCCCAATGAAAATTTTAATCTGAGGTTAGGGGGCCCCTCTTAAAATTGCCCGGGCCTGTGAGTTTGGGGCAGTCTAAAACAGAAAATAGAACTGAGAATAGACATTTTACAATATTAACATTCTTCCAGAGTTTCTTCCAGGCATCTCTTCAGGGGGGGGGGGGGGAGGATTTAGTCCGCCCCCCCCCCCCCCGAAAATTTGCCCCCCCCCCCCCCCTTCCCTTCCCGGAGAAAAAAGTCTGGAAGAAACGCTGCTTTCTGTCATGTGTCGAACTTGAGAAATGTAACAGTCAGATTTGTTTTATCATCATTTCCTTTTAATATACTTTTTATTTATCATTTCGAAATAATAAAGAAACCTAACCATCTTTTTTTAAAAAAAAAAGGTTTTGGAGTCGTCCATAACTGGCTTCACACTCGATAGCGGGGACCGTAATTTTGTGACGATGTGTGGTGATGAATGGGGGGGGGGGGGGGGGGGAGGTTCAGATAGTGTGACGTCACTATAGTGCATTTTAAAAAAAAATAATGGAAACTAAATTTTTACCGCTTATCCGCGTTTTTTTTTATTGTTATAAAAATTGATTAATATACTCTATGTTAACCGGGCTCTATCAATATTTTAGAAAGAAATGGAAGCTTAATAGAACAAATCAAATGCTTGAGGGAGGGAGTTGTAGACTGAGGTGTGACGTAATTTTAAAGGGGCGTCTGGAAAGTTGTGACGATGTGTGTGTGTGTGGGGGGGGGGGGTAAAAACCATTTTAAAAGCGTGACGTCATTTATGGATAACCCCTTTAATCTAAAATTCCAGGGAATCCTGGGCTCTGGATTTGCCTTGAAGGTGCAGCAGAAGCAGCGACAGAAACATTTCAACAGACAGATTCCAACAGCAGCCTCGCTGATACAGGTAACACGTTCTTGTCTTTAGATACAGGTTGCCCTTTCTTAGATAAAACACGAAGTACTAGTAGTAATTTTTCTTGGCATTTTCTATTTGTTAACTTAATTTAAACTTGTTTAAAAACTTGTCCGCGGACATCGACCGGAGTCACGAGACTTTGTTTAGCCAGGTTTATACCATTTTCTATGTATGGCTGGTGGGAGGCGGGGGAGGGATATCCTTTAATTTATGGTTGATGCAAACTTTTAAATTCTACTGGAGGTAAGGATGACTACCAACACAACATGTGTGGTGTTGATTAGTTCCCCCTGATAATGATAATACTGCAGTTTGTATGCTTGATTTTTAACCCGGGATGCGGAAATCTATTTTTCAACTATCAGCTGTCGGCTCAGAATTTCTTTCAGGCATCTCCCCCTCGAAGAAAGTCTACCCTAAACCTCCGAACGAAATGAAAAATATATGATTTCTATAGAAATTATATACTTTAAACAGCGTGTCGTCGTCCTCTTCCCCCCACCCCGCCCCGTCTCCACATGAAAATTTCAAGTGCAAATTTCCGTTTAAGTGACCTCCTCTGCCCCCCACCAATGAGGAAAATATCTGAAATAAACCCTGTGTCCGGAAATGGTTATTCCAGAACTTTCCGACCAATCATCTTTTATTTTAATTAAAAAATGATACAGGCTCCAACTACATTTTTCTTGCCTGTCCCCGCGTACATATTTCCCCAATCCCCAATTAAAACAAAATGGTTTCCCTCTCCCAGTGTCTGTGGCGGTGTCATGCAGCCAAGCCCCTGGCCCCACGTATATATTTCACCAACCCCCAATTAAAACAAAATGGTTTCCCTCTCCCAGTGTCTGTGGCGGTGTCATGCAGCCAAGCCCCTGGCCCCACGTATATATTTCACCAACCCCCAATTAAAACAAAATGGTTTCCCTCTCCCAGTGTCTGTGGCGGTGTCATGCAGCCGAGCACCTGGCCCCACGTATATATTTCACCAATCCCCAATTAAAACAAAATGGTTTCCCTCTCCCAGTGTCTGTGGCGGTGCCATGCAGCCGAGCCCAGCTTCAACTCAACAGCCACATGGAAAATTCACATTCAAGAAAAGAATTATAAACTAGTCATGAATCATTCTTCTTCCTCGTCCGCGCTGTCTAGGTGAGTACTGTTGTTTTAATTGATTATTAATTGCTACGTAGGTAGATAAACATGTAGTTTGGCTGATTCAATATCCAAACTAAACAAAACCTTTCTTGTAATTACACTGTTTAGAGTCTAAACTTGAGACGGTAATCTAGGAAAAACCTTGGTCGGGCGGGAAAGCGTATGATTGCTAACTACAAAAGTGCCGAGTTCGAACCAGTGTTTCTTCCAGGCATCTCTACGAGGGTGCGGAGTTCCCCCCTCCTCCCCCCCCCCCACAGAAAACTGTCTACCGCCCCCCCCCCCCTCGAAGGAAATAGAATTTATATAGAAATTATATAATTTTATAATTTTACAATTGTTCGCCCCCCCCCCCCCGGAAATTTTAGTCCGGCCCCCTCCCTCCCCGAAAATTTGAAGTGCCCCCCCCCCCCCCGGAGAAAAAAGTCTGGAAGAAACACAGGTTCGAACCCCATTGGCTATATAAGCTTTGTTAGCTGTTGAGAACGACCATCTCTAAAATGTAATAACTGATGACTTGTAGATTGCTCTTGGGTGGACACAGGGAATGGAAGCAAATCCAGAAAGAAAAATAACAGGCTGAACTGATCATACATAATTTTGTTGGAGGAAATCCCCTTCAATATAATTAAGGGCGAAGAAGAAGACGGTAGTCTCAGTTGATTTTTTCGTCTGTAAATTACTCAGCGATCTTGCTTCACGTTAAATAGGTCCAGATTCTACATCTTAACGACATACTACTATAAAACAAAAAAATTGAAACGACGAAGTTTCCAAATACTTTTTTCTTTAATGTTTTTGTATGTTTTATTTTCTTTATTGGAATAATTTTATAACTGCTGAGCCCGCTTAAACGGTGTTGGGTCAAGTAACACTCCCTCCACTTTTATCCTACCAGGATGGCGAGGAAGGCGAGTCTACTGAAGAAGCGACGAAGTGTCCGAAACTCGATGGGCAGCGGTCTGGAGAGGCAGGAGAGCATGACGTCATTGACGGGACAGGATATGAACAATCAGCACCGCACTCCAGGCAAGTCTTGCGCTGGACTTTGATGCGTCTATTTTTAACTCTGATCCCTCCCAATGTAGCCTATACAAGATCAACATTTTCATGCTGGGGTCGTCCATAAATGATATCACTCTGAGGGGGTCGGGGAAAGTCGGTCGGGGAAAGTCGGTCTGAATTTTTGAATTTTTTGACAATGTGTGATGAGGAGGGGAGGGGGGTCTGTTATTTTAGCAGTTATTTCGCGTTTTTTTAAAAGGTTGTTTTTGTAAATTGTATTAGAATGTATTTTGACAGTGTAGTCAATATTTTTGAAAGAAATTGATGTTGAAAAAATTTAACTGAGTTGTGACGTCATTATAGGAGAGAGAAAAAAAAAAGGGGGGGGGGGGGTAACAATCGTCCAAAAAAAAAAGCGTGACGTTATTTATGGATGCCCCCCACAATAGCATTAACTAGACATTTTTTAAAAAATTTCGTTGGTCAGGAACGCCTTCAAAAACATCCACGGGGAAGACCTCGTTGGAGATGGGGGAGGAAGATGACTATGATGACGTCATCTACAAGCCCGAGCAGTAAGAAATATTTTATAAAATACATTTAAAAAGTTTTATAAAATACATTTACAAAATAAAACAATAAGAGAAAGATCAGCGGCAGAGAGGTAAAATGCTAACCCGAAAGTCCCGAGCTCAAGTCAGTACAACGTCCCTGAGTCCACCCAGCTCTGATGAGTACCTAGCTTACGTTGGGGAAAACAAAGGCGGCTGGGCATAGTGCTGACCACACTATCCCTTCATATGCCGAGGTATCTCAAGCAGGTGAACTCTACTTCGTCTGCCCCGTGTGTCTTGAGCACAAAAGGGATAAGATGATGAAGAACGGAAAAAAAGAGTGTGTGAGATTGTTTTCTCATCAAGTTAAAGATCTTTCGTATTGTCGAAGTTCTTACAGATTAAAAAAAAAAGGGGGGGGGGTATGGTTGTTTAATTCAGGTCTAATTAGTTTAGTGTACATTTCCTTTGACCTAATCTTATGAAAATAATTAGCTGCACGAACTTAATCTTCCAGGTTAACAGACGGCCACAAAGCCATGATACGGGTGATTAGACGAATCAAATTTTTTGTGGCAAGGAGGAAATTCCAGGTGAGAAGTTCATAAGCTGTGGTTGATTAGTGTGTCATCTGTTCATGCTGTGTAGTTTATTAGTGTGTCAATTCCTGTTGTGTAGATAAATGTGTCAGTTGATTAGTGTGTCGAATCATGTTCTGTACATAATTAGTGTGTTCGCTGTTGTGTTAATGATAAGCGTGTCAGTTCATGGTGTGTTGTTGACGTAGTTTGTCAATTCATGTTGTGTAGTTGATTAGTTGTGTGTCAATTTGTGTTGTGTGATCGATTAGTGTCTAATCATTTTATGTACGTGATTAATTTTAGATGTTGGTTTGATGATTATTGTGACAGTTCATAGTGTGTGTCAGTTAATGTTGTATAGTTGATGAGTGTATAAGTACATGTTCTGCAGTTGATGAGTTTGTCTATTCATGAGTAGTTGATTGGCATGTCAGTTACTATGTAGGATGTCCATTTTTGCTTTGTAGTTTATTAGAGAGTTAAGAGTTATGTCCCCATGATTATCTAAAGATTCTCCTAAAAAACATATTAAGGAACAAAGGCCTACAAGTACAAGCCTAAGATTATTGAAAAAAAAATAACAGCTTTTGAAATCTAAATAAGTTACACTTTGAACCTGGCACTTGGTGAGGCAGATGAATTAGAGTTTATCTGTTTCTGTGACCTCAGTTAAATGGATAGCATGGTCAGCACTATGCCAAGCCATCTTTACTTCCTGTAATGTGAGTTAGGTACCCATCAGAGCTGGGTGGATTAAGAAACATCTTACAAACTCAAGCCTGGGATCCAAACTTCAGGCATTTAGGTTAGCAGTCTAGTGCTCTACAACCCAACCGTACCATCCCATTTTTAAAAATTTTCAACATAAACGTTTCCATCAACGCTTCTTTCACAACAAAGACCTTACTTTAACTATTGGTAGTTGCAAATTTATATTTTATTGGCTTCTTATTGAAGTCAAGTTCATAACTCATGTTATTTTTAATGACTTAATGATAATGATTGTAAGTCTTTTACTGAGTGTTGTCCTTATTGACAGCAAGCTCGTAAGCCTTATGATGTGAGAGATGTTATAGAACAGTACTCACAAGGTCACCTAAATATGATGGTGAGAATCAAGGAACTGCAGAGAAGGTAAGAACATGCTTGTATGTATTCAGTTAATAGAAGCGAGAAAATGCAATTCAGTGTATATTTCATTCATTCTTTATTCATTTCAAAAAGTTTTGCATGCTTAAAAAATACAATGTAATTTTCTAGTTAAAAAAATATAAAGTTGCAAAACAACTTTACATCATTTGGTTGTCCCTTGCAAATGCTAATAATTTAAATTATTTCCTTCCCCATTTGCATGCAGTAAAAAAATGTCGAAAAAGCATATAGGCCTACTTTGAAGTTAATACTCCTGCAATGATCTTTGTTTTTTAATTTACAATATGAAAGACATAATTAAAACCTCAAGATAATAAAACAACTAACAGTATTCAAGAAAGCACAAAAATAACATTTTGCAAATAATTGTAGTCTGATTATTACAATCAGTTTTCCTGAGTAAACAAATACACCCAATTTCAGCTCCCTAAAATTGCTTTATTTATCCAGTTAATTGAGGATGCACAATTTAATATAAACCCACCTCATTATTAGTAAAAGAATTGTTTGTCCAGCATTATGTTCCAGCACTCTATAATAAAAGCCAGAGGGATACAAACAGGTCTTCTACAGGTGACTTACACAAAACCTTAATTTTGTTAAACTCTACTAAACAATTGCTCTCTACAGCTGCACTGAAAGATGAATTAAAAAAAAAACAACAACAAGCAAACAAACAAACCTCATTCTATGAAAATAACAAGAACAGGCTTTAAATTTATTTTTATGTTCAGCAGTTGTAAGATGGTATCTTTTAATTTAAGCACTTACATGTATGCCTCAACCCAAAGCTATCGATACTTTTTAAAAATCTGACTATGTTTTGTCTTACATGATGATGTATTAATTATATTTCAATTCTGTAACTAAAACATCAACCATGAGAACTAATTAAAAGGCTAGACAATGGTAAAATACACTCAATAACTTAAAAAATGGTATTTACGCATAGTAGAATTTTCCAAATTTTATTCACATTACTAAGTTTTGCATCAAAGTTTTAGTCATTTCTTACTCTTGCAAGCACAGGTCTTATTGTTGTGAGGTGCTCAGATTCCATCAAAGCCTCCAAAGCCTCTTTCATTGATGGAGACAACTTCAAAAGTAGTTTCATGCATTTTACAGATAATTCATTTAGCTCTTCTTGGGTATTGTTTGTTTTAAACTTTTGATACTGTGAACTGTTTATATCTACAAGAAGTTTTAAAATGGCCTTCAAAAGTTTTTGTGTATGGTGAGGAATTCTTGGCCATGCAATACGAATTATATTATATAGCATTTTCAATACTCCGATGCGAGATAATTCTTCTTCACCATCTTCAATTTCTAGAAACTGTTCAACAATCGAGACTAGTGTTTTCAAATGTTGAATGGTGGCCACGCCAATCTGCTGTATTAAGTCATTCAGGAAATTCACATAGAGCCGACGAATAACCAGAAGATTTTCTAATATTGTGTATTGCATCAATGTGATCATAATGCTGTTATGGTATTCTAGATCTGGTTTCTTGTCCACTACTTTTAAAATACTAAACAAACATGGAAAAAGTGCAGCTACCACTGCTGGCTCTTTGTTAAACATCTGCTTCTTCAAGGCTTCATATATTACTTCAGCACGGTTGTACCACCGTAATTCTTCACCAGAGGTATTGTCAATTAAGTGCTGAATGCAATTAATCCCTTTGATTTTATTTGTTTCTTGATGGTCTTCCAAGAAATTTAAAGATGTGATCATTGTCATCTCAATATGTTCACTCAAATAAGGGGACTTTACTTGTGTTATAATCCAACAAAAGGCTTCAACATAAAATGGATGTTTTTGCCATTGTCCTTTCTGGAATAACTGTTTACACTGCATTAAAACATGTTCCAGCATAGTACAACTTTTAGAAGTATTTTCAGTTGTGTAGCTGGCCTTGAGAAGAAGCACTTCACATGGGGAGTCAGACTGTGTACTGCTTAAAAGTAGTTGTAACAATTTAGTGTGCATTGTCTGACAACCTGGTGATGACCAGTGTGGTTCTTTTGCATGAGCCCCAATAAAAATAATAATTGTCAGAAGAAGTTGAGCAAATTGAGAATCAACATTTCCATCAGTTATTTTTAAAAGATGATGATAGTCTGCATTAAATAGAGGCATAAGGTATTTAAATACACATTCCGAAAGTTCAGGATACCCAATAAAATCCTCCCTTTCATAGGAAAAGTAGTCTCTGGTCATAAATGGAGGCACATACGCTGCCTCAATTACAAGCCTGAGTTTCTGAACGAACTGATCTTTTTCCAACAAGCTTTGACGTGAACTCTGCTCACATGTCTCTATAATCCTAATGCACCCATTAAGATGATTTACTTTATGAGAACTGCATGAACTATTTAAAATCTCGTTCATTGAATGAACTAATTGTGAATGAACACCGTGTGCCTCAATATCAGAATGAACATTGGCTTCAGTTTCCGAATTTGCGTTTGTTGTAGACGCCATTTTGATTTGACATTAGAGTTGTTCCCCTTGTGGGCGGTGATTACTAGAATTAATGCTACGTTAGAAAAGGCCTACTGGTGGAAGATTATTTTTTAAATCATGATGTTTTAATCAAGAATATTAAAAAAAAATAAATAAAACCATGTATGTGAACAAGGCGACTTTATTATATTATGGATTACTACAAATTAAAAAAAAAAATCGAAAAAAAAAACAACCTGAATAACTGCGTTAAACTGGGTCTGGGTAAATAATAATAAATAATATGATCTAAACCTTAGTAAAAAAAAAAGAGATCAATTAATTGGCATAATGAACTGGTATATAATAAAGCAGTTCAGGCAGTTTTGAACCAAGTAAATCTTACTAATATAAAAATCGAATTAAAAATGATTCAACGCCATTTGCTTTAAGCCACTATAACCCTGCATACCACACTTCAGACCAGCTACCTTGCAGGCATATGAAATCGCATAACTAAGACTTTGTTTTCTCGATAAAGCAAAGATAACCGCAGCATTGAATGTGTCTCCCGCCCCACAAGTGTCAACTACAGAGCCAGGTGGAAAAGCAGGGGACACAACAACACCTGTTTTGCTGGACACTGCTGCTGCTCCTTGCTCCCCCCAAGCACAAACAAGAGTAGCCTCCTCTTTAAGTTTGGGGAAATACCCTGCAACAGCATCAGTCATAGATTCAAAGCCATCATTTTGAGCAAAATCTTTACTTATAAAAAGAAGATCTGGAAGCTGCCATAAGCTGTGTTTATCCATTTCAGGTCTTAACCGCAACTTTTCAGCTTCTAATGATACAATAATTGGTTTAAAATTGGCTTCCTTCTTTTTCATCATTTCATTGTAGTGTAATATGTGTTTTATCATGTTTCCTATCTCAAAGGCATTATCTCTACCTTCAAAGTGAATCCATCCATATTGTAAAGAATTAAAATCTATTTGCTGTTTGAAGTGGTCAACAGTTAACTCTGGGAGATTTTTATTTGTATGTAAAACAGTACGACTTCTGGATTCTTGACTGATAATGACAACTGAAATGGGGCAAGATGTACCTGGAATGACTAACGAATGGTCAAACTTCACATCACATTCTTTAAAATCGTTCTCTATAAAACTTAGCTCCCTATCATTGGACAGTGTGCCGAAGAATTCTGCGTTACCACCCAGCATGGAAAAAACAGTTGCCGAGTTGGATGCGTTACCCCCTCTTTGCCAGTAGCTGTCTGTGCATCTATGTCCTTGATCCTCTGTTGGATATGTTCGTAAAACTTGAAAAAGATCTACACACACAAGACCTACAAATAGAACTCTTTGTTCAGCGCTAATCTCTAAGGAAGCCTCCATCCCACGGCAAACATTCTGGAAATGTAAAGAACAGCTTTTTTAATAAAACAAACCTCCTAAAATCGTAATTTAATTTAATAAAATTGTTAAGTTGTAGCTAATAACATATAGACTGTTAGTTGTCAGAATGTGTGAGTTTTTAAATCAATTTTTGTTGAGACCTGAATACGCCACTAAATAATTATTATTCATTACGGAATGTTGAAGAAGTGAGTTCAGGGCGTTTATCCTCATTTTTTCCTTTTTGTGCTGAGATATATGGGGCAGCAAGAGCCTTTATATAGTTATGAAAACTAAATAAATTTAAAAAAAAAAAAGTTAAAACAGCCTGATACATAACAAGAAACTTAACATCAGAAGATATAGTTGTGTGGTTTTAAATTTAAAAAAAAAAACAGAAATTACAAATAATTTTACAATTATTTTTTTTTATGATGTCTGCAATTTTTGTGGCTTTTGTTATAGTTTTAACTATTTCACTTTACAGGCAGTACACATTCAAGACACTGCAAATAACATTTCTGATAGAATTCTAATGACATGAACAAAGCATATATAACCTAATTTATTCTGAGATAAATTCTCAACTAGAATAAAATTAATTTTCAGTCTCAGTTAATTTTACCTATCTTATCTGATTGGCTAACTTTTTCACAGACTAGATCAAACCATTGGCAAGCCAGCCTATCATGGTAACATAAGAGACAAGGAGAAGCTTACTCTGTGTTCCAGAATAGGCAGAGTGGAAACACAGGTAACTTTAAAAACTTATTTGAATGTCTGTTGTATTTAAGCTATTGTGGCTAGGTAATATACACATTTTAAAGTTGTTGTAAATTACTATTATTGTTATAAAATTAATACGCTTCCTTACATAATTCATTTAGAATTAATTAACTTTCTTATAGAATTCATAAACTTTCTTACATAATTCATATACTTATATAATCAATTAACTTTCTTATATAATTAATTAATTTTCTTAAATAATTCATAAACTTTTTTATATAATTCATAAACTTTCAAATAGAATTGATAAACTTCCTTAAATAATTTATAAACTTTCTAATATAACTCATAAACTTTCTTATAGAATTCATAAACTTTCTTATTGAATTCATAAACTTTTTTATTGAATTCATAAACTTTTTTATTGAACTCATAAACTTCTTTTACTCAGATAAACAAGATGGATCTTAAGCTGGACCAGACTATAGTCTTGCTGAACATACTAGTCAGGCAACAACAACAACAACAAAAACAACAACAGACAAATGCCTCACAACATAACAGTCCTGAATGTGCCGAAAATTCCTAGCGATTTGTATTAAATGCATTATGTTGTTGCTTATGTAATTATATTGTTACATTTTTTTTCCACATAATTCACTATTACATAATTTATTTCAGATTTGAATAATATTCTGAAATGTTTTTTAGACTGCATAAAACCACAAAAAAACCTATAGTTAATTGAAGTCAGTATATTACATTTTCAGATTTTTAATGTTTTTACTGGAAATATGATTCCAATAATACAAAGTAAACACAATTTTCGTAGACAATCTATAAGTTTTGAAATACCAACTATTTTTGGTATCTGTACTGCAATGCAATTTTAACAGGACATTCTTTAAAAAGCAATTTTTTTTTAAATAATAATTTTTTTTAAAGAGCTGATAATACTATTACAAAGAAATGTACTCTATTTTAAAAGAATTTTGAAATATTACCAAAAAAGATTCCAATTTGCCTATTATTTTGTTAATGTGTTACTTTTCATTTATGTGTTTTACCTTTTATTTTGTTTTGTATATAAAACATGCATTTATAGCTTTATTCCCCACTGAAGGTTTTAAGTCAACACTGCTTGTTTTCTACATCTCTGTGATATCTAGTCATATTGTTCATGTTTTTTTTTTGTTGCTGAGATTATGATTTCGGTGAACTTTTTCCTCCTTTTTTCTTTCTAAGATCCTCAAAGCTGTGATAGGCTATTTGTACAGATATAAATATTAGTTGTGGAATGTTAAAGTTATAGATGGTATTGATTAACAAGAGTAATGAAAAATATGTATATATGTAATATAAATAGCATACTGCAATTTGTGTCTAAAATGACATGTAATAAATAATTAGAAATATGGAAGTTTAATATGAATATGTGCTATAGTAAAGATGTCATTAACAACTCAGTAATGTATACTCAAACAAGCAGATTGCTTAGTCTATAGTTTTGAGTTCAATTAAGATGCAATATCTCACACTAAATGCCTATTGCCATAGTCTAAAATAAGACTTCATCTTTTTACAATTCATCTAAAAAACATGTCACTATTGCAGTAACATGAAATTGTGTTATATTTTGGCTTAGGTTTAAGTGTAGCCTTTCCCAGTCAGTGGGGTAGGCAGGGGGGGGGGGGGGGGGGGGTTATGACCCCCCTAACCCCCCCCCCCCCCATAGACCTCTCGGTATATATAAAAAGTATGAGAAGGGGGGGGGGTGCAAATCGAAAGTTTGAGGGGGGGGGGGTGCAAATCGAAAGTTTGAGTGGGGGGGTGCAAATCAAAAGTTTGAGGGTGGGGGGGTGCAAATTGAAAGTTTGTCCCCGGGTAAAAATTAGAACCCCCCCCTTGAGACAATCCTGGCTACGCCACTGGTCCCAGTTAACAGTAGGCTAATGAAGGCATTATACACTGTGTATCCGTGTATAAGGGGTTTGCAGAAAAGCAAGTTCTCATATAATTTCACATAATAACCTAATACACATTTGATATTATTATTCTTAATTGTTATGTTTAAAATGTTATTTTATATGAATCACCATTACTCACAATCCCAGAGGCACGCAGTAACAATACACTAAATATAGCAGAATAAATCAAAATATGTCACGTAATATTTTTATTTTCATTGTACCAAAAAAAAGACATCATCCACATAAATGCATGATCACATAACATTTTTTTTTATTTTGCTCACACTGTCAGAATAGATTAACAATATTTTTTCCAAATAAAAAGTCTACAGCAGATTAATGACTAATAGAAAGTAATTTTTGCAAAAAAAAAATTTGAAACTAATCAATTAATTTATCTCAATTTTCATCTCAATTTGATGTTACTAGTTTATTGGGATCATCAAAAAATGATCTCACACACTTTAGGTGGAAGGGGTACACAATGGTAGGGGGTGGCCTGAATTTATGATAATGAGGAAAAGAGGGCTGGTAAAATACCCTTATATAACATTAGCAAGACATTTTTTTATGATAACTCCTAGATCTATTAGTTATGTAAAAAAAAAAAGAAGAATTAGATACTTTAATGGATGAGACAATAGGTAAAGTTTCATTTAATCAAAATTCTTATAATTTACCTAAGTCTCTGATAGTCACAAACATTTTTAAAAATATATGTAACTGTTGTGAATATTTAATTCCTTCGTATTATTATGTCTCTTTAGTAGAAATACATTTCTGAATAGTAATTTTTATATAAAATTACACAGCTGTTTTCTTGTTTTAACTACAAGTAAAATACTGTGTATACAGATATTCAAATAGATCTATAAATATATTGTATCAGTTTTTACTCCACCTACACACAATGTATGTATATTAACTTATTAAGATTGTTGTACAAAAAACGATGACACTAATTAAAATATAAAAAAAAATGTTAATCTGCAGAGACTACCTGCTTCTCATTCTATGTAAGATTTGCTGCAAATTTTTTATTACTTGATATATTAGTGAATATTGATACATGACTATTGTTCTAGATCTATTTTTGCTGATTCACTCTTAGTCCTAGATTTCACAACACAACAACAGGACTTGGGAGTTTTATTTAAATTGACACCTGGCAAATGCCAGAAATTAAATTGAAAATTTAAAAAAATGATAATTTAGAGTTTGATAATTCCATGGGGAAAATACAAATACTACATACACTTTATTCTCCTGAAAATAACTATTTTGAAATTAAAAAAAAAAATCCACATTTTAACTTTGTCATTTTTAATATTTTTGTTTACATCTATTGTTAAAACCACATGACTTCATTTTACCTTCATTAAGTAACAGGTAAAATAAACCTTTTTAAAAGTACTTTATAATATCTATTTATCTGTTCAGAATTTCATAAAAACATAATGTATGCTAGCATTCCATTATTATAAATCGATTGGTAAACCAACTGTTTTTAACTTTACTTGATCCCATTCCCTCATTATACCATGGTTGTGTTTTGCAGCTCTATTTTTATTGAAGTCAAAGTCTATAATTATAATGCAATTACAAGATTTTTTAAAAGGGTACCTAAAAAAGATGTTCATATTTACAAAAGTAACAAATATATATCATTAACTATTCTGATTTAACATGTTTAAGATCTTCAGTGTCAATAAGTAGGCCTAATTAGATTTTATAAATCTGCATGATGATTTTAGTAAAAATAATTTTTATTTAAAGTTCAGATGAACCTCAAACTATACAGAGAGAACAATAAATCTAGTAATAAAGTAAACTAATTTTTGAGACAATAAAATGATTTGAATGGTTATTATCTTTATACAGTGTTTACACTTGAAACATGTTTAGTATACATGTCTCAAAGGTAAAACTGTTTAAGACTGAATGTAATTTGTAATTGGCATGTTCTTTATTATAAGCAACAAACGTTATTTATTACAGAATCAGACTTCAAATCTTATAGATCTATATACAAATATTTGTAAACCATCTAGTTTGAAAAACATAAGTCTCTGTATAATGTTTACAAACATTTTCCACTTGTTTTGCCCTTTTGTTTAACAACTACTTTTAAACCAAGGTGGATTGGGGAAGAATATGTGATGCAGTTTGATACCTTGAAGCAGTAAGGCTAATAAACTAATAATAATATAACAAGTAAAAAAATACTTTATTAGGTTTATTTTCTTATTTTTGTGTATTTAAAACAGGTTATTATAAAGTTTTTTAAAATGTGTGTTTTTTCTCTTTTGTTTTGAACAATTGCAAAGATATAACAATAAATTGATAACTGCATTTGAATTATAGTACATTATTTGTTCATGAGTCAAGCCCAGCCATTACTACAAAAAGTTTGCTTCATACCTACTCGGTCAACTAAATGTTGATAATGCATCCATTTAGATTGAAAATTCAATATTCTTTTATTGTAATTAGAGATGCTCTTATGTCAATGTTAAAGAGAAATCACTCTATAGAATTAGCTCAAAATAAAGTAACAAGATTTAACATCAACCAGATAGTCATTGAGACATTATATTTCTCATCTTAGGTATTTGAACAATTTTTAAAAAGTTTTGCCAGCTCCTATATTTTTATGGAAGAAAATATGGACAAAGATTTTCAAAATAGATTTAACTTTCATGAGTGATGATACTGCTTCAAGGCGTAAAATCTTACTTCTGACTCTTCTTTAGGTCTACCTTGCTTTTGACAGAAAGACATCGTTTCAAAAACAATTAGTGTTTAATTTTATGATTTTATAATGTATGATTGGAATTTAATTGATGACATGTGAATGCATCCTGACCTTAATAACCATGCACTTCAATAAAGTAATTTAATTCATTGACAATGATTTAAAGTATTCTTTTTCAATTGATCTTATAACATATTAATCATTCTGATGAAAAGATAAGCCAGTGGCTGACCAGAGCTTTTACACTTTCTTTACCTTTCCTAATTTTAAATCATAACAATCTAGGAGAAGTGTGGATATATATATATATATATATATATATATATATATATATATATATATATATATATATATATATATATATATATATATATATATTGTTACGATCCCAAGTGATCATTACCTGGGTTTGGTCCCATCGAGGAGGGCCAGGTAATTAAAATGAAATGCTTAGGCATGTTAATGCACTGGCCAGCATAGGCCGTGAGAGTCTGGGGGTCTTGACGGCCACACCACGGATTAGATTACGCTGTGGGCGGTGCATACCTGGTGTCTTGGGGGACTCGGCTATTAACGTGGACAACAGCCCATAAATTACCTGGTGACACCACGTGCTGACCGTTGATGCTTGATCTAGGCTAATGACGGTCCGTGTTTTACGGCTGGGAAAACCTTCCAGATCGGAGGGGGCCGAGTGGACCGTCATGGACGGATATGACCTAGGGTCAGGCCTTAATTAAAATCGTTCCCACGGTGTAGAACGGGGGACGAGTACTTTAGGAGGGTAGACCGGAGACTGGGGGGGACACTCTCGACAGACACTCGGGGGACACACACGGAGACGGACGGACGTCTCGGATAGCTAGGCTTAGAGGAGACAGACCTGGGTCGTCTCTGTGAGCTAGTGGAAAGCCACGACTTGTACTAGACCTAGGCTAGATAGACAGTTAGGGACAAGTAGGGCAGTCGAATTAAGGACTATAGTTGTTGTAGATAGTTGTGTATTTTTCTTCTTGTGTTCCATGTGGTGGCGGGTTAATGTTAGATGTTGTATTTTGTGGTGAATAAATAGAGATTACTGAAGTTGGCTTTTATTTATTTTTATTTTTCTTCTTCTTGTTTACGATCCCCTGACTAGTTCGAAAGGATTAGAGAAGGGGGTACGTAACAATTGGCGGCTAGAGTCCGGGATAGGACAGACAACGAGTTGAATAGTTTCTTTTGATGCCATTTTCAGTTGGGGGCTCACGAGCTTGTGTTTTAGTTTTAAGTTTTAGAAGTAGTGACAATAAAGTTGTTCACGGAATCAGGAGAGTTTTCCAAACATTGAGTAAGTAGCGAGCTTATCACCTTTGTATTGACACTGAGTTTATTTTGCTTGATTTTTATGTTGGTCCAGTAGAGCTGGAATTTTTTTTGTTGATTCAGTATAGCTGGAGGGATTAATGCCCAGTATACTCGAATATTTTTGTTTGGTCCAGTGGAACTGGAGTGTTCGGGTTTATTCAGTACAGCTGGAGGGTCAATTCCCAGGTACGTGAATAAATTCGTAATTTTTATTTGGTTTGCTCAGTATAGCTGGAGGGTCAATTCCCAGTATACGTGAGTAAATCGTTTGTGATCCAGTGTAGCTGGATATCTTAGTTTGGTTGGCCCAGTATAGCTGGTGTCTACCTATTTTAAGTGTCAAAGGTGATAGCCCTACTTTTAATGTTTAAGTTAAAGTTGTTTGTTGTGAGCCACATTTTTAATAGTTAACCGCCACCATTTAGCTGGATAAGTTCCGTAAGTGTGAATCATGGACGTAATGAGTTTTATTGAGTGTCCAACTCTAGAAGTTTTAGACAGGTTTTGTCGCTTAGAGTTGTTGACTCTAGTTGAGGAGCTAGGACTAGAGGTTGATGTGTCGGATAGAGATAGAGTTCTACGAGATCATATTTGTGTTGAGTTAGT